GGTGTTAGCCAATATTAGGGCTAATTTGGGGATTTTTGTCAAAGATGGTCAAATTGACCAAATTGGACCAAGGTATAGTTGGACAAAATGAAATTGGGAATATTTTGGATTTATTGAGATTTTTTTAGGAATTTTTGGAATTTTTAGATTTTGGGTCTGGAGGGGCATCTTGGTAATTTGGTTATTTTTGTCAGTTTTGGCAAATTTTGATGTATTCAAAGTGTTTGGAATGAGTTTTGATCAATTTTGGGTATTTTGGCAAAATTTGGGAATTTTAGCCAAATTTGGGTATCAAGGGCAGTTAGGTAATTTGGAGGTGCCTAGGGGCAAAAGACCAAGTTAGGCATTTTACATAGAATTGGATAGATATCCATTCTAAATGAACCAGGGATTAATATATTGTGAAGATATGGTGTATCCTAGTTCCAGGGTCGACCCTAAAGCCAAGTAATCCTATAGGGACTCTTCTTGAATTCTCTTATAATGATCTTACCTACTAAATGCTAGAGGTTAAGATCAATATGTGGAATTTCAAGCTGAGTAAAAAGAAAAGTTTTGAATTTCTAATGGTGGGGTACCTCTTCTAATTTTCTAAGACTAGTCAATAGGAAAGTCCTATGGCTAGACCTAGGCTACTAAAGAAGTTTTCTAGACCTCAACCAAAAGTGAGGTCAACAGTTGTCTAAGGCAATACCATCTCAGATCTTACATGTTCTTACAACAGGTATTAACATCTTACTTGGCCAAAACAAGAAGTAAATGAAGTGCAAGGTTTCAAATCATCACAAATTATTCCAACAATAAAGTCTAATACTGCACACAACTTCCTTTCAACACTTAATCACTTATCATTTTAAAAAAAAAATAAAGAAAATTACTCAGAATCCATGGAGAAAACACAACCACAAATGAGTTTAAAAGTAGAAATCATGCACACAACAAGAAATCTAAATTAAAACCAAGCGTAGTCACAAAGATAAACACTTATCTCAAATCCTCTCCACCAAATATCTTGAAGTTCCTTTGAATTCTCTTCCTTCACTCAAAATACAAACTAAAATTCACTCTCTTGTTTACTCTTATTATTTATATTATTTATTTATTAACTTTATTTTTGTGAGTAGAAATAAGTTTATATTCACCATCACATTCTATGTTATAAGTGTGTACTACTTTCTGCGCCTAAGGTTTGACTATCTTGTCATCATAATTATTTAAATTATTTTGACTATAACATATATATCTAATTTGTTGTATAAGCTTCACATGTTAACCCATTCAATATTGCTGGCGGCAAAACTTTTTATTTAAATGGTGCATAGCTAAAAAAATATTAAAATTCAATGAATAATAATGAATAAAAGTATGAGAGTTATGACTATAGGAAGATAATCGTCTTTTAAATGTGGATCTATTAAGTAGAAAATCATCACATTTGCTTATTTCGCTAAATGAATTAGTGCATATTTACTTTCATTGGGAAAGATTCAAATTATTTTTTTTTAAATAGAAAAAAACTAAATTATATTAAAATAAATATAAACATATTATAATGAATTGCACTTATTATTTGTGATTTAGAATTACATCATTAAATCTGTTAAAAAGATTAAATTGCTTCATATTCTTTTACGGGAATAATATCAAATTCTTTCTTGTGTCATGAAGTGCTAGTATGGGGTGTAAATGAGTCGAGCTTGGCCGAAATCAGGCTTGGTTCGTGTTCAGCTTGTTAAAAAATACTATTGTATGTGTTCAACTCGTTTATCTTTCAAGCCCAAAAAGATTTTTTGGTGTTCGGCTAATTATTCGAGCTATTCATTAAGAATGAGTCATTTTGACCCTAGTCATGCAGCGGTAGTTTGTGTAGGGGCAAGATTTAAATTTTTTATTTATATTAAAGTCTTCTTTTAAATATATATTAATAGGCTTTTATCCCATTTTTTAATTAATAAATTTAATTGAATATAAATATTTGTAGTTTTGTAGTGAATTAAATTATTTAAAAATGATACTTATCAATTATATATATATTTA